AGGGCTTTAAAAGTAACGACTAGCACCTTGAAGCGAGTCCGAAGACCAATAGGCAGCCAGTGCAGCTTGCAGAGGATAGGTGTAACGTGGGTGTACCGAGGTGCACCCACAATCGCTCGCACTGCTGCATTCTGGACAAGCTGAAGTCTCCGAATACTCTTCAAGGGCAACCCCATGTAGAGCGTGTTACAGTAGTTCAGTCTTGAGGTCACGAGGGCGTGAGTGACTATCCAAAGGGCCTCCCAGTCCAGATAGGGTCGCAATTGGTGCACCAGGCGAACCTGGGCAAAGGTCCCCCTGGTCACAGCTGACAAATGGTGTTCTAAAGTCAGCTGCGGATCCAGGAGGTCTCCCAAATTGTGAACCCTCTCTGAGGGGCGTATAATTTTACCAGGCTGAGAGATGGAATAGCTGGACCATATTTGGGAGGGAGCATCAATAGCCACTCGGTCTTGTCGGGATTGAGCGCAAGCTTGTTCATTCCTATCCAGACCCTAACAGCCTCCAGGCACTGGCACATCACTTCAACCGCTTCACTGAGTTGGCATGGGGCGGACAGATACAGCTGTGTATCATCCACGTATTGGTGGTATTTTATCCCGTGCTGACGTATGATCTCACCCAACGGCTTCATGTAGATATTAAATAGGAGGGGGGACAGGACCGAACCCTGTGGCACCCCATAATTGAGGGGCCTAGGGGTCGATCTCTGCCCTCCAACCAACACCGACTGCGACCTGTCCGAGAGGTAGAAGGAGAACCACCGAAGAACGGTGCCTCCCACCCCCACCTCCCGCAACTGTCGCAGAAGGATACCATGGTCGATGGTATCGAAGGCCGCTGAGAGGTCAAGGAGCACTAGGATAGAGGCATGGCCCCTATCCCTGGCTCTCCAGAGATCATCGATCAGCGCGACCAAAGCAGTTTCTGTGCTGTAGCCAGGCCTGAATCCAGACTGAAAGGAATCCAGATAATCGGTTTCATCCAAGGACCGCTGTTGTTGAAAGGCCACCACTTTCTCAACAACCTTCCCTACAAAGGGGAGTTTGGAGACTGGACAGTAGTTAGTCAAGATGGCTGGATCCAGAGACGGCTTCTTCAGGAGGGGTCTCACCACCGCAGCCTTTAAGAGGAGTGGGAAGGATCCCTCCCGAAGAGAGGTGTTGACTATCATCAGGATCCAGCCACGTGTCACCTCCCTGCTGTTCGCGACCAGCCAGGAGGGACACGGGTCCAGTATACAAGTGGAGGCACTCACCGCCCTGATGGCCTTGTCCACTTCATCAGGCGTGACAAGTTGAAACTCAATCCATAAATTCCACTCAAGACCTTCCCCTGGTACCTCGGCTGGCTCTGAGCAATTGGAGTCCAGGTCTGTCCGAATCCGAGCGACTTTGTCCGCTAGAAACTGAACAAACTCCTCAGCTCTACCTTGTAAAGGGTCCTCCGCGGCCCTCCCTTTCAAGAGGGAGCGGGTTATCCTAAACAAGGCAGCTGGGCGCGATTCAGCGGACGCAATAAGAGCGGCAAAATGCGCACATTTCGCCGCCCGTATTGCCATGAGATAGGCTCTGACATAGGCTCTCATCAGTGCTCGGTCTGACTCAGAGTTACTGGCCCTCCAGCGGCGCTCTGAATGCCTCTTGTAGAGGGCATTTTTTTAGAGGCTTTTTTAAACAGTTAAGCAGAGTCATCCACATGGTGACTCTGGCAGCAACTAGCCCAGACTGACCTCAGCTCTTGCCTTTTTCCTATTACATTTTTTTTCTTTTCATGATGGCAGGCAAGAGCAGAGTTGAAATCCTCTCTGAAACAGCTGGAAAAAGTACATGTGGGTCGCAGGGAGGGGGAGGAATTCAAACTTCATCCTCCTGGTGCAACTTTGTGTGTGTGTGTGTGTGTGTGTGTGTGTGTCTGTGTCTGTGTCTGTGTATGTTTGAGGGGGGGAGGGAGCATATTGAGACAGTTCTTTAGTTTATGCACTATGTAACACTCTAATACTATGCCTTTGGGTCTTCTGAAATTTTAATTATCCAATCATAAGCAAAAACAATGTTTTCAGTAGAATGAATTTCCACTTCTACTTATACCTGCCAGCCAAAATGCTGCTAGTGGTATTGCTAACATGGGCTGTGAAAGAAAACCTAAATTTTCTGAATCCTGGTACAAGTTTGTGTGTGTGTGTGTGTGTGTGTGTTGTGTTTGAGAGAGGGGGAGGGAGGGAGGGAGAGAGGGAGAAAGTAGGGGAAGGGAGAAGAAAAATAAAAAGAAAGAAGGAAACTTATTTAGCAAAGGAGAAAAACAAATGCTGTCGCTTTAAATCAGAACTGAGCATGACTGGCTGTGGAATTCTGGGAATTGAAGTCCACAAGTCTAAAAAAAATTGCTGCCTCACCAGCCATAAACCTCACTGCACGTCACTGATTATGTGCAACAAATAATTAGAAAATCCTTTGCAAAGCGTTGCACATGTTTGACCAGGGAAAGGCATAACAAAGCACATTACACAATATGCAAAAAAAAAAAATGTAAGTGTGTGTGTTTGTGAAAATTAGCAACTCGCCTACATCTAGCTAGCTTCTTTGATTAAGTTCTGGACATTTGCCATCCTCAAAGCAGAATAACAGAATAAAACAGAATAACAACAGAATCACAGAGTTGGAAGGGACCTTGGAGGTCTTCTAGTCCAACCTCCTGCTCAAGCAGGAGATCCTAAACTACTTCAGACAAATAATTGTCCAATCTCTTCTTAAAAACTTCCAGTGATGGAGCACCCACAACTTCTGGAGGCAACTTCTGTTCCATGGATTAATAATTCTCATTGTTCCCTTAAAATCTCCTTTTTTTCATCTTATTTATGACTCCAACCCAATTCTGATGCCAATCTGGCCGAAAAGACCTATAAGGAAATTCCAGAATGGGGTTTGTGCCCTGTTCCTTTCAACACAAATATGGTGTGTATGTAGAGGGGAGAGTCACAATTGTGATTTCAACCCTCCTTCAGTGGGATGGGTGCCTGCAGTTGAGTCGAGATGCTGTCACCATGGTAAAGCTCCACCCCTTTTTATCATGTGTTTAACAAGGAGATCGGATCATGGGTGCCCCTTTGACTTCTTTAAGCTCCCACAGAGGGGAGAACATTGGTAGGGCAATGTATATAAACACTGAGCAATCCTTATTCCCTCTAGCATTGATGATTTTATCTAGTTAGAACATGAAATGTCTGCATGAAAACAATCAAGCCCAGAGAGCAACAAGGATCTCACAATCCTCCTCCTTCTCCTTCTCCTCCTCCCTGGAAATTCTCCTACCTTACTTCTACCACTGATTATGTTACCTAGCTAGATCATGAAAAGTCTGCATGAAAACAACCAAGCTCAGAGAGCCCCAAGGAGCCCACAACCCCGAGCCACAATATCTTTTTCCATTGTCAAGAACTCACCATCTGCCGTGAAGAGATAATTGAACCTTATGATTTGCAGGAGCCGCTGCAGCGTTTCACAAAGCTGAAAGGAAGCAGGAAGGATTAATGTGACCAATGCAAAAAATGGAGTCCAGGTTGAACAGAGACGTCGGACTGGGCATCTCTTGGACTAACTGAAGGGGAAAAGAGGTTCTGTGGACTATCCATATCTCCAGGATACTAGAATGAAATCCTAGAATCAGAACAGAGTTGGAAGGGACATTGGAGGTCTTATAGTCCAGTCCCCTGCTCAGGCAGGAGATCCTATACCATTTTAGACAAATGACTGTACAGCCTTTTCTTAAAAACCTCCAGGGATGGAACACCCACCAGGTCTGACTTTTGGTTAATGGATGCCCACTTTTGGCACGGATCTCTTGACCAAATCTGAAAACTTTTTCAGTTTATTAGTTTATCCCCTTTTCAATTTTAAAAATCGGAATTTTTAATTTTTATTTGTCCAGGTTTATCACTTTTATTATCCCGATTCAGGGGTCTGACTTCGGTTTCCTGTATGGAGTCCAGTTTTCAAAAAAGTGAGATAACATACATTGCCAATTTACATTATTGAATGCTTTCTGGGCATCTAAAAAGATCAATGACATTTGTTTTTCAGAGTGTACTTCATAATATTTCAGCAGGTCTAAAATTAATCTTACATTGTTCTTAATTTGTCTTTTGAATAAAAATCTATTTTGATCTGGGTGGATGAATTCATTCAACAATTTTTTTAGTCTTTCTGCTATTATTGATGCAAATATTTTGTAGTTGCATTTAATAGTGATATAGGTCTATAGTTCTTTATCTATGTTAAATCTGTGTCTTCTTTCAGGATTAATGTAATGTTTGCTTCTATCCATGAATTTGGTATCTTAGCTTCTAATAGTACTTCTTTATAAACCTTTAACATTGGCAAGTTAGTAGATCTTGTAAGTGTTCATAAACTTCTGAAAGTAATCCATCTGCTCTTGGTGTTTTATTATTCTTTTGTCTTTTTATCACCTCTGATAGTTCCATCACCATTATTCTTAGAATATTTTTAATTTTATTTATCGAGGTTCATCACTTTTATTATCCTGGTTCAGTGTATGGAGCCCAGTTTTCAAAAAAGTGAAATAAAAGTTCCCATGGCTCATTCTTAAAACCAAGCCCCCTCCCCAATAATTGCCAACAACCACAGAGAGGACTCTCCCTTGCCTACCTCCCAGCCAACCTGATTAAATTATGACAAAATTATCAAATTCCAGTCCTTATGGTGCCTGGAAGCCACTGATGGAAGCCATCATGCCATTCTACACTGTACAGGTAATCCTTGACTTACGACCACAATTGAGCCCAACATTTTTGTTGGTAAGCGAGACAGGTATTAAGTTAATTTTGCTCTGTTTTACAACCTTTCTTGTTGCAGTTGTTAAGTGAATTAATTTATAAACACGGTTTATAGTACATGCCAGTATATGCCAGTTGCCGAGCCTCTGAATTTTGATCAAGTGACCACAAAGATGTTGCAATGGTTGTGAATGAGAAAAATGGTTCTAATTTCCTTTTTTTTCAGTGCCAGACGGTCAATAAATGAACTGTTGTAAATCGAGGACTACCTGTACATACAATGCCCATAGAAGACCATGCTTGACTTTTTTGACTTTTTTGCCCACTCCTTTGGATGTCCCAGGGCATTCTATCCCATGGATGAACCCCTTCATGATTTTGATGTGCTCGGATCTATTCCTTCCAACTTTCCAGATCCATTGTCCGATGGAGACATCAAGAGGTCTCTCGAGAACTGTAGATAGATGCCTTCAAGGATTTTGTGGAAGAAAACAGGACCAGATGAGCTGCTTCCTTGCCAGGCTTTCCCAGTGCCATCTCTGCTGCCATCCCCAGCTACGGTTTGCCAGCTACTTACCAATCTGGGCAGGGATGCTGAGAGGACCGTTTTTACAATGGCCTTCGCTTTAGCTATTTGCAGGCTGCAGAAGCAAGCAAAGATTGGAAGGAAGAAGGGCTGGTTTGCTTGTAAGTAGAAGACCAAATTCCCAGGCCCACCTGCCTTGGCCCTCTTTCCTCCCTGACCACCCCCCCAGCAAACTCTAGGACAATAAAACCAAACATGACTTAAGCCTTTTCGACATCTAGGCAGCAACTGACGAAGCATGGCTTTTAAATAGGTGAAGTTAATATGGACAGATTAATTAGCAAGGAACATCTACTGTAGCTATTGGGAGTTACTGGTTTCTGTAAAGGGTTTGTGGGGTCCTTGGGGATCTCTGGGTTTGGAGGTTTTCTTGCAGATGTTTCTTGACCCTATTAGGGAATGTCATCAGTGCTGGTAAGGAATGGGGTTTGTGGAATGGAGGGCATAGAAGGAAAATGGGAGGAGCAGGGGGAAGACTGAGGGATCCTTGGTGTTCTCTGAGCTTGGCTGTTTTCTTGCAGATGTTTCATGACCCAACTAGGGAACATCATCAGTGGTAGAAGGGAGTGGGATTTGTGGAGAGAAGGAGGAGGAGGAGGAGGAGAAAGAGAAGGAAGAAGGAGGAAGAGGAGGATACCTAAAGTGGGAATAAAACTCCCTGCCCCTGATGATTGGCCCAAAATCATCCAACTGGCTTTCATGCCTAAGATGGAACTAGAACTCCCCATCTCTGGGTTATTGGTCCAAAGTCATCCAGCTGCCTTTTATGCTTAAAGAGAGACTAGAACTCACTGTCTCCTGGTGATTGGCCCAAAATCACCCAACTGGTTTTAATGCCTAAGATGGAACTATAACTCACTGTCTCTTAGTGATTGGCCCAAAGTCACCCAGCTGCCTTTCATGCCTAAGGCAGGACTAGAACTCCTGATCTCTTGCTTTCTAAATTAGTGCCTTAACCAGTAGAACAAACTGGCTCTACCAGTGAAGCGTTAGATCAGGGGTCCCCAAACTTGGCAACTTTAAGACTTGTGGACTTCAACTCCCAGAATTCTCCAGCTGGGGAATTCTGGGAGTTGAAGTCCACAAGTCTTAAAGTTGCCAAGTTTGAAGACCTCTGCACTTGATTGTCGTTGGTGATTCCAAATAACGTCAGGACGTACCAGAAAGAGCAGATTATTCTTGCAATTTTGAAATCGCTCCGGCAGGTGCCAAAAGAAACATCTATGACGCCAGATCACAGGGACATTGCTTAAGGCAGAAAAGCTTAAGTACACAAACTATCAAAAGCACCTTTTCTCCCTAGCGGGATCCCTGCCAGGTGCTGCGGATCAGATTGGCCCACTGGGTGCCTTGGCAGAAGAGATTACATCAAGGCAAGATATGGAAGTCCAGCCTTTGCCCCTTCCTCAGCTTCCTCCCTCTTTCTCTCCTATCATCAGTCCATTGATCCATCAATCCATCCATTGTCTGTCTGTCTGTCTGTCTGTCTATCTTTATCTATCTTGCCTCTCTGTGTCTCTCTGTCTATCATCTATCTACCTATTTCTATCTAGATAGAAATAGATAGTCTCTCTCTCTCATATCATATCTCTGTCATATATATATATATATACATACATACACATACATACATATACATATATATACATACATACATACATATACATATACATATACACATACACATCTACATCTAACTAACTAACTAAGTAAGTAAGTAAGTAAGTAAGTAAGTAACTAACTAACTAACTAACTAACTAACTAACTAACTCTATCTCTATCTCTATCTCTATCTCTATCTCTATCTCTATCTCTATCTCTATCTCTATCTCTATCTCTATCTCTATCTCTATCTCTATCT